GTAGCCTAGTGTAACTGATGCAATTGCTTCACAATAGCCTAGCCTGTACACTAATGAGGCATACTGTATGGTAATGAAATTCTTTGAAAGCAAAGTTATAAAACAGTAAGAAAACACATTAATTTTATATTAAATATCAGTCACCTAAGCCTATGGAAGGATAGGCTATCCACTTCCATACAAGTCTTGCACTCACGATGAATACTTACATAGTTCTTGCCACACAGTTATCAGATTTTCACACAAATTCACACATACAGCAGATAAGCTTACTAACCGTAAGGCTTGATGGTGATTTACTGCTCCTGAAGTGGAAGTGAATCAGCATCACCTTCATCCCCGTCTTCATAGTGAGCAGGCTGAGGAGGAGGAAGGGGAGGGTTGGTCTTGCTGTCTCTAGGGTGACCAGGCCAGGAGATGTGGAGGAGGGGGGAGGGGAAGCAGTAGAGGCAGGCCCACTTAGTGTAACTTTCTGAAAATACACCGTATATTCTGTCTGACCGTTTTGCTCTTTCATTTCTCTAAAAATGTTTCTATGCACTTCCAATCCTTCCACTGTTTTCTTTAGTATTGGTGCCTGTGTTATAGAAGGGTCCATGTCGTAAAAAAGTCAAAAGCAATCTCGAATAATTGAAACCCTTTTGCTAAATTGCCTAACATTAACTGTTTTTTTAGCACTGCTTTTTCTGTATCTTCCTCATCGTTTGACACTGTTTCAGAAGAACGCATCTCCATCAAGTTATTTTCTGTTAATTCCTCTCGTGGTGTTTATTAGCTCTTGAATTTCTCTAAGATCTGTATCTTGAAACCTGCCCCCTCCTTTTTTGCCATATCCACAACCTCATGATTTCCTTGATTGGCTCTGTCATAAATCCTGTGAAGTCATGCACAACATCTGGACAGTTTTCTTCAGCAGGAATTTATTGTTTTGGGCTTGATAGTTGCATGGCTTTCTCTGTAACAATGATGATGCCTTCAATGGTGTCATCCTTGCAGACTTTCATGATGTCCTGTCAGGGTTCTTTTCCATAGCATTGATAATCTTTTCCATTAAGTACTAATGATCCTTAAAGGTCCTTATGGCCCTCTGATCTAGAGGCTGAATTAGAGATGTTGTGTTTGGCGTCAAGTAGACCATTTTGATGCCTTTGATGTTGAATTTATGGGATTCTGGGTGGCCAGAGTCATTGTCCAATATCAAAAGAACTTTAAAAGGTAGTCTCTTACTGGCAAGGTACTTTCTTCAGCGAAAGCATTGATGGAACCAGTCCAGAAAAAGGGCTCTCATCCAGGCCATCTGGTGTGTAACCAAAAGACTGGCAGCTGGTTTTTATCTTTTCCTTTCAAGGCTCAGGGATTAGTAGCTTTATAGATAAGGTCCTGATTATAAATCCTACTGCATTTGCACAAAACAGTAGAGTTAGCTTATCCCTTCCTATCTTACATTCTGGTGTTTGTTTTTTTTCCTTATTAATAAATGTCTTTTTTGGTATTTCTCCCCCACCCCCAAATAGGGCACCTTTGTATTAAAAACCTGTGAGGTAGATATCCTTTCTCAATGATTTTCTTAATGGCATCTGGGAACTTGTCTGCTCTTCTTAGTTAGCAGAAGCTCCTTCTTTTGTTATCTTGACATTTTTAAAGTCAAACCTCTTTCTAAAGTTATTAAACCACCCTTTCCTGCCATTAAATTCTCCAGCTCTAGATCCTTCATCTTCCTTTTGCTTTAAGTTGTCATATAATGAATGACTTCAATTTTTCTCAAGTAAAGTCTATAGGTATGCCTTTCTTATAGCTATCTTGCACCCACATTAAAGCTACATTTTCAATACAAGATAAAAAGGTATTTTGTAAAAAGTGCAGTTTTTGTGCCTGCTGGTGTAGCTGCAGCAACGGGTTCACAAATTTCTTTCTTTTTTTTTTTTACAGTGGTCCTTATGCTGGATTCATTTATCTTGAAATGGTGGGCAACTGCAGCAATTCAGCTTTTTCTTGTAATATGACTTTTCTCTATTTCTTGGGAGCATTTCCAGCATTACTAGTGGCACTTTGTATGGGTCTTACAGTGTTATTCAAGGTTTATGGTATTACACTCACTGTGAGGAAAAATATGTGAGAATTTTGAGAGATTACTTTTTACTATGATACGCAGTTTACTGGAGAGACAAACTGCTTACATAGCGATGATTAGTATCTCATAGCAGTTTAAGCAGATGCTAACGACACTAACAATAGGAGGTAACTACAAAATTATTATAGTAGCACAGTATGTACTGCAGTTAATTTTATGCAGTTATGCTTTAATATTACACATTTATATTTGTTTTTGTTTCTCTCAACTGAATGGTGGTGTGTATGGTCTGTGTGTGCCTAAGTTTTGATAAATTTTAACTTTGTATAACAGATTTGTGTATATTTTGTGGTAATAAATGATAAACTAGTTTCTACATATATACACATTTGTAAATATATCTTATAAACTGATTTCAGAGAGAGGAAGGGAGAGGGAGAGAGAGATAGAAACATCAATGATGAGAGAGAATCATTGATCTGCTGCCTCCTGCAAGCCCCCTACTGGGGATCAAGCCAGCAATCCAGTCATGTGCCCTGACCAGGAATTGAACTGTGATCTCCTGGTTCATGGGTTGATGCTCAACCACTGAACCACACCGGCTGGGCTCTACATATATTTTTTGCATTCATAACATACTAAACTTTTTTTTCTTTTTTTCTCTCCAATATTTCAGGGCTACATGGTTTGTGAGTTTTTCAAATTGTCACAAATCTCCAAAATTTTTAAAAATATATTTTAAAAATCTGCATATAAGTGGACCTGCACAGTTCAAACCTGTGCTGTTCAATGGTTAGCTGTAAAGTAAAACTTTATTACCTTGGATTAGGCAAAACTTTTAAAATATGACACCAAAAGCACAAGCAACAAAAGAAAAATAGCCAAAATGGATTTTATTAAAATTAGAAACTTCATGCTTCAAAGGACACCATCAAGATAGTGAAAAGACAACCCTTCAAATATTTGCGAATCATATATCTGTTAAGAGGCTTCTATTTAGAAAACATAAAAAATCCTTACAACTCAATAACAAAAAGACAACCCAATTAAAAGTGGACAAAGGATCTGAATAGATGTTCTGAATAGACATTTCTGTAAAGAAGGTATACAAATGACCAATAAGCACATAAAAAGATACTCAATATCATTAGTCATTAAAGAAAGGCAAGTCACAACCACAATGAGGTACTACTTCACACCCACTAGTACGGCTTTAATAAAAAAGACAAGGATGTGGGGAAATCAGCACCCTCATTTATTGGTGGGAATGGAAAATGCAAATCAGCACCCTCATTTATTGGTGGGAATGGAAAATGCTTCAGACTACTTTTGAAAAGTTTGATAGTTCCACAAGTTGCTAAATGTGGTTACCACATAACCCAGTAATTCTAGTCCCAGTTATATATGGAAGAGAAAGGAAAACATGTCCACACAAAAACTTGTAATTGAATGTTCTCATAGCATTTTTCATAATAGCCCAAAATTGGAAACAACCAAAATGCCCATCAACTGATGATTGGATAAGCAATATTTATTTAGCAATTAAGAAAAAAAGAATGAAGTACTGATACATCCTAAAACATGGATGAACTTTGAAAACATTATGCCAAGTGTAAGAAGCCAGTCACAAAAGACTACATATGTATGATTCTATTTAAGTGAAATGTCCAGAATAGGCAAAATTATAGGGACAGAAAGTAGATTAGTTGTTGCCTAGGGCCAAGAGGGAAAGGAGAATTTGGGAGTGATGTCTAAAGAGTATTGAGTTCCTTTCCTAGGTGATGAAAATGTTCTAACAAAGATTGTGGTGATGGTTATACAATTTTGTGAACATACTAAAAACCAGTAAGCTTTAGACTTTAAATGGGTGAGTTCTATGGTATATAAATTATATCTAGGTAAAGCTATTAAAAAGATCTACCTACCTTTTCAGGAAGATGTATATCATCTCTCTTCTAGTTTATGTTTAAGACCCCCTTCCTTTATGAAGGTTTTGTTGATTAATAGCAATTTTTATTATTATTCCTATTCTTCTAATTATACACTTGTGATGTATCTTAGTGCTTCTGTTGGTTGTGTTTGTCTCTTGTATTTATTAGTCATTGTATGTTTGTGTGTAGAGATTATGTTTAATGTCCTTTACCAATATTAACTATCTCAATGCTATACTGATAAATAGCTCTGGAAATCCAAATCCTCATTGATTATTTAGTGATTCCTATTTTTAAGGAAACTATTAAGATGATTGCTATTCCATTTATTCAGTGTGATTCAAATGTATAGTGACTATGAAATTATGCTTTGTATGGGTTAGAAAACATAATTTACATATTTTAGAACAGGCTATGGATAAATTTTTCAAAGTTTTGCGAATGTATACCTATGTGTTGAGTTTGTTGGTTCAGATATTATTAATAAGAAAACATATTTGTTGAGCATGTACTATATATAACTGCTGAGCTCTAGTAAGATAGAGAAAATTATTGCAAATATACCTGTTTGTTTTTTCAGTCCTCACCCAAGGATATTTTTTCCATTGCTTTTTAGAGAGAGTGGAAGGGCAGGGAGAGAGAGAGAGAAACATCAGTGTGAAAGAGACACATTGATTGGTTTTCCCTTGCTCGGGATGGTGCCTTGCCCTTGGCCAGAATCAAACCTGGGACCCTTCAGTCTGCAGGCTGACACTCTAACCACTAAGCCGAACTGGCTAGTGCCAAATATACCTGTTTTTAATGATCTTGTATTCTAATGGAGGTGGGGGGAATGATTTCAGAGACAAATGTGAGAAGTTTAGGATTAGACAAATTAAGCATTAAATGAATTCTGGGGCTGTCTGGAAGATTGATTGGGCCATAGTTGTTCAGAAAATTTTTATGGAGGAATGAGACTTTCAGATAGGCTTCTTAAAAAGATTATTCTTGTTTTTTAGGTACTAAACTCAAAACATGAACAATGATATATATTACCAATGTTCAAAGCTGATTTGGCTAGAACTGGAATATAGTTGCCTTCTACATATTCCAGAGGATTTAGCAAAGTCAAAGTAATGGATAACAGAAGAGATCCTCCATTCTTCAATGAAGATAACGTGGGGCCATTTTACTACAAGCTTCTTTTCTATACCATGGAGCTCTTCATTGAAACATTGACTGGAACATGTTTTGAACTGAGAGTTTCACCATTGGAAGCTGTTATTTCTGTGAAAGCAAAAATTCAAAGATTGGAAGGTACTTCTCTTTTTGCCCCCTTCTTTATTTTTAGGATATGAGGATTATATTTGTTGATCAAGAGTGTATAATAACTTTAACTTTTCTTACAGAGAAAATGTCAAGCATACGTGGAATTAGAAAGTATAGGATAATGAGCCCCCTATAGCCCTTCCTCAGCTTCAACAATTACCAGTTCATGAGCTGTCAGTACCATTCCTGCATTCCCCCACCTCATTCCTCTGCTACCAGAGCTTTTTGAAGCAAATCCATGGTATCATGTTAATGGTGTGAAATAATATTTTAAAATAGTTTTTCAACAGGTTACGATGAAATGCAACTTACCTACCACTTTTAATGGGAAACAGTAATTGAGTTTGCTTTGAGAATGCTTTTTTTAATGTGCAGATTTTCTGAGAAGAGTTTTTGGCTTACATTTACATATATTTGAAGTTTTCTCAGTGTAGCAGGGATACTGAATATTGTACAATATCTCTTTTGTGGTTTGTGTGTTTGTATAAAGTGTCATAAATTACTTTGTGTAAAATTAGAGTATTTTTCTTTGTACTTTGGATATTTCTGAAATAAATGGTGTTTGCCTTTATAGTTGTTAAAATTCAGTTTTGACCAGAAAATTAAATTGTTCCATATAACGCTAAATGGATCTTTGCTTTTTGGGTCAGCTGAAATTTGCTTGTAAAGGTAGTAGCTAGCATCACCTTCCAGCCTAGTTTAAGTTCAAAACTGTAGAAGGATGAGGAGGGTTGGAATTTTTTGTTTGTAAAGTCAAGAACCTAGGTATCTGAGCTTCTGAGTATTTGCTGTTCCACCAGTAACTAACTTCTTATCCTCGGTAGGAGGGGGCATTGGCAGGGTAAAACCAGTGCTTTATAGTTGTTAGACAGTTGAATCCTAGGTTATGCAATTAGAAATTATTGGGAAATTAAATGAGGTAATATGTAAAATGCCTATTGTCTTAGTTGGCTTGTACTGTCGTAACAAAATACCATAGACTGGATGGCTTAAAGAACAGAAACTTATTTTCTCACAGTTTTGTGGGCTGAAAGTCAGATCAGAATACCAGCATAGTCAGGTCCTGATGAGGGCTTTCTGACTTGTAGCCATCCACCTTCTCACTGCATCTTCACATGGAGACAGGTGGAGGGAGAGGGAGAAAAAGAGGCTGCTCTGGCATCTTCTTACAAGGGCACTGATTCCACCATTAGGTCCTCACCTTCATGACTTCATTTCTCTGATAGCTCCAAGAAAAGTTGTTGGTGGTTAGTTTATTCAGCTTTTTTCTTGTTGTAAGGATGGTGGTGGCAACTTACATGCTCTTTACATGTTGTAGTTGAAACTGGAAGTCCCAACTTTCTTTTTTTTAAATCCTCACCTGAGTATATTTTTTCCATTGATTTTCTAGAGAGAGTGGAGGGAAGGGGGGGGCAGGGAAGAGTGAGAGAGAGAGAGAGAGAGAGAGAGAGAGAGAGATCGATGTGACTGAGACACACCTATCAGTTGCCTCCAACTTGTGCTCTAACCAGGGCTGGGGATCAAGCCCGCAATCAAGGTATGTGCCCTTGACTGGGAATTGAAACCCGAACCCTTGTCTGTGGGCCAACAATCTAACCACTGAGCCAAACCAACCAGGGCTCAACTTTCTTTTTAATGTTATAAGTTATGATTTAAAATTTCCTTTCAAGAACTGTGTTAGCTAACCTACAAGTTTTTAAGTTGAATTTTATTGTCATTAAATTGTGTTTGTTTTGCCAAAGTATTTCTTTTATCTTTTAAAAGTTATAATAGTCAGGGGCTTTGCAACCACAAAACTATATAGGATTAGATAGATTTGATCACTTTTTATATTTTATACACATTCCCAGTATTCTGACTAATAATACTGAACATGTTTTCATTTGTCTCTAAGTTCTAGCAAACTCTTTCTCCCCATTTTAAATTTACGTATTGTAAAATTAACTATTTTTAGTATTGTATTAGTTTACTAGGGCTGCCAAAGCATGGTACCACAAACTGAGTGGCTTAACGAACAGAAGTTTATTATTTCACAGTTCTAGAGGCTAGAAACCCAAGATCAAGGTAGCCCATTCTGTTTATACTTGAGTACTGTTCCATTGTATGGATATGGATATGCCACACTTACTCATTTTGAGTTGAAGGTCATTTATATTGTTATCAGTTTTTGGTGATTATGAATAAATCCATTGTAAATGTTCATGTACAGTTTTTTATGGGAACATAGGTTTTCATTTCACTTGGGTAAATACCTAGGAGTGGAATTGCTGAGTGGTATAGTAAGTGTATATTTAATTTAATAAGAAACTCCCAAACCATTTCCAGAGTGGCTCTACCATTTTGTATTCCTGTGAGGAATGTCTCAGAGTTCTAGTTGCTGTGCATGCTCATCAGCATGTGGTATTGTGTGGATTGCTTTTGTTTTTGTTTCTTTTTTGCATTCTAATAGATAGCGGTGATATCTGTTTGTGGTTTTACTTTGCATCTCCCTAATGACTAATGATATTGAGCATCTTTTTATTTGCTTATTGGTTATCTGTGTGTCTTCTTCAGTGAAATGTCTATTTCATCTTTGTCCATTTTTAAATAAAGTTGTTTTCTTGTTGTTTTGAAAGTCCTAGTAGTTTTTAATTTTTCATTATGGTTTCTTATGTCTTCTTTGACCACTGAATTATTTAGAAGTGTACTGTATTTCCCCACTTAGGTGAATTTTTAAAAATTTTTATCATTAATCACTAATTTAGTTACACGTGGTCAGAGTAAATAGAATACTTACGATAAACATGGTATTCATATGTACAGTTGTTTTTGAATATTAGAGCAGTCTGGGGCTCTTTAAAAAAATCATGTGTGGTGTAGAAGAAACAGGAAAAAATTGATGAGATGTATTATTGATGTGACAAGTTCAAGTGCAACATCTTCAAAGGTAGAATCAAACAGACTTCTGATTCTGGCCATATGGTAGAAACGTGTCCTAAAACAGAACACATAAATTCTGGGTAAATGTTTTTTTGAGTTTTTTTAATCCTTACCCAAGGATATTTTTTCCATTGCTTTCAGAGTGTGGAAGTGAGGGAGGGGGGGAGAGAGGGAGAGAGAGAGAGAAACATTGATATGAGAGAGACACACCAGTTGGTTGCCTCCTGCACGTGCCCTGACCCGGGTCTGGGGATCGAGCCTGCAACTGAGGTACGTGCCCCTGGCTGGAATCTAACCCAGGACACTTCAGTCCACAGGCCAGCACTCTAACCACTGAGCCAAACCAGGTAGGATGGTAAAGGTTTTTTTAACTACCTTTTTTAGTGTGTGTTTCAACTTGTATTAATATAATGGAAATAAAAAGAAGCCTGAGGTGACAATATATAATTCTTCAAGAACAGATGGTATAGCAGATGTTTGTTTCAAAAGCATCTCCCAACCTCTGGTGACTCCACAGCTTGAGGCAAACGGGAAAGGAGAGAAAATCTGTTACCTTAGTACAATGGGATGTTAGCTCAGAGATAAATATTTGTTTCCCAAACCCCTGAACCACCATGTTTGTAGTTGTTTTGTTTTGTTTTCCCACCTACTTTGTGACACTACAAGGTGCTCTAGGATCATCTTACATATTCCTTCCTCTGTCTTAGAATCAGCCATTTCTTCAAGAAGCCATGGTTCTTTTTATTGGACTATGGTACTAGAAACCAAGATCTGGGCATGACAGTTGATTTTTAAACAATAATAGAAACCAGAAGACAGTAGAATATTATCTTCACAGTGCTGAGAGAAATAACAGTCTCCACCTAGAATTAAATTTATCTTTCAAGGATGAGGACAAAATATAGACCTTTCCAGAAACACAAAACTTGAATTTTCCAACAACAAATTCTTGCCAAAGGAATTTCTGAAGGATGTATCTTAGAAGGCAAATGATCCCTAAAGGAAGTTGATGATGCAAGATGGAATGGTTATCAAAATGTCACATTTATGGGTGAACCGAAATAAATATGTATTTAATAAAACAAATAAACCAATAAATATGACGGTTTGAAAAAATCATTTTAAAATCCTGATAACAATGACAAGGTAGAGTTTTGTATAACGAGAGTGCTAAGACTCTTAGTATTGTTCAAGAGGAAGTTAAAGAGTGATTAACTTTAGACTTAATTTTATTAAATATGGTTACTTAAATTTCTAGAGTAATCAGAGATTAGAAATAGTTATATAATTTCCAAATGATAAAAGTGCCTCCGCGTCTTCCATCTATCTAAATTAATACATAAAGGAGGCAAGTAGTTAAAGCAGGATAATTAGAAAGCTCAAAGTAAGATAATGAAAATGAATAGAAATATATCCGTAATTCCAATAAGGTAAAATGGATAAAGCTCTCTAATTGAAAGACAACTGATAGACTGCTTAAAAAAAATTCATATGAAGTGCTTTTTTACAAGAGACCTAATCTAAAATATAAGGACTGCAGATGTTGAAAGTAAAAGGATTGAAAGGTATACCAGTCAAATATTAACCTAAAGAAAGATGGTGTTTCTGTATTAATAAAATTATTATATAAAATACCTTTAAAAGTGAGACATGTGAACAAGTCACTTAGAGGGATATTCATAGTAGTCTTGTTGGTAATGTCAGAATTCTAGAAACAACTCAAATGAGTACACTAGAATGGATACACTGTGGTATATGTAAATATATGTGTCATATATTATAATTGAATTCTATGGGATAGTTCACAACAAGGAAACTAATGGAATAACAGTCTCCTGAATGACGTGGATAAATTAAAAACAATGGTCAGTAATAAAAGTGAATCATAAAGGAACACATACTGTGATTCCACATATATAAAGATCAAGAATAAAGGAAGAGAGGACTACAAAAATCAGAAAACAATAAAATGCAGTAACTACATACATGTTGATAACTACTTTAAATGTAAATGGATTAAATGTTCCAGTCAAAAGACATAGGGTGGCCCTGGCCAGTGTGGCTCAGGT